ACCCACGTGTCTCCCGTGCTCAGCAGCCCCACAGGGCAGCATCTGAACGGGGCATGGGGTGGGTGGCCGGGCACTGGCCGGGGCCTCGCAGCAGACCCTGCTGCTCTGTTTTCTTTGGCTTTCCTTCTGCAGAGGCACCTGCAGCAGTGTGGCTGTCTTCGAGTCTTCTACCTCCCTTCCAAACTTGGCTCAAAATTGGCCAAAGGGTGCAGAAGCTGTTTAGGAATTCTTAGTTCTTAGGAGGTAAACTAGGAAGACATATCGCATCCTAAGGCTGCGCATGAATTCATGCTTGCTTAGAATAAGTGAACGGAAACACAAGGGCTAAGAAAAATGCAAGATTAAAAATAAATTCACTGCTTGCCTCCTTGCATCTTGTTGCCACATCACAGAAACCTTTAGAAATATCCCTCCCCAGTGCCCTACGACTACTGTGAAAGTAGAAAGTGAAAGAATTCATAACTACAGTAAAGCAAGAGAAAGTGTTTCTCTAGCTGGGTGGTCCTTCTAATGCTTCTCACTCCTATGCCTTTACCCTGACCTACTCAGCCAGCCCTTACAGGCAGCAGGTTCTTTCCGACCACTGACAGGGATAAGTCTGCAGATTTTTACACGTTCCCTCCTAATGTACATTTACTCCAGGCCAGGATGGAGCAACCGAGCTGCCAACTGCACCTAAGAGGGCTCTGCAAAACCTGCACAGAAGAGACAACCCCCTGTTGCATGTAGGTGCTCCAGGGGGGAAAGCTGCTCTGTGCACCCGGAACAGCAGCTCCTGCTAAACCTGACCCTGATCTGTCCTGCAGCAAAGCCAAGCTCATCTGCCTCGCCTGCTGTGCGAGTTCCTGCCAGCATTCCTGGCGGTCCTCTGAAATCCGGGCCGTCTGGAGCACACCCCAAGGATCTTGAGGAGTTACCCAAACACTGTTATACTTAGTTACTTCATCAGAAGATTACTTAAGAGTTGAGGAGGGGCCTTTCAGTGAACTTGGAGCTTCTCGCTTTTTTATGAGTCTAAACGYATTGATGACAACTAGTGTTTATGGCAAAGCACAAACAAAAACCTTCAGCTATCCTGAATTATCTTTGTGTTTCTGCAAGTTGTTTCAGCTCTTCAAAGCTTCTTCAGTTTAGCACTGTGTTTGACCTACTGACAGCATCTGTAATTTCACCGGACGTATAACTGGGCACATTCTTTAAGGTTTGCTCCTCAGTAACATTTCAAATGCTTTTCCCAGAAGTATCAGCATACAAACCTAAATTCAAAAATAGCTACCAATATCCTATGAAAGATGCAACAAAAATTCTTCAGAAATCCATTGCAGTAAAATAATCTTACTTTTGCAGCTCAGTAGTTTGATATTTCATTTCTCTTTTTCATTCCTTAATATATTTATCCCCAAGGATTGAAATCCATTCCCAAAGAGTGAAAAATGGCTGTCTGCTTAACAATAACTAGAAAAATATCTAGAAAGGACAGTGAAAAACAGCTCACCTTGAAGCTCAGATTGCCCTGGAAAAAACAGCCAACTCTAACTTTAGAAGCTATGAGCACATCTGCTTCAAGGAGGCTTTTTTCTATTCTGTGTAGCTGAGGAAGTTAAAAAGAGGRCCCACAGAAATACTTAGTGGATAAGGAAAATATCCAACACCAGACTTTCACAGAAGCTGCAAAACACTGGGGAAAGAAAGCCCTTCTTAGGCTAGTTGTTGACAAGCAAGATGCAGAAGTCCACTCATAACAAACAAACAAACAAACAAACAACAAAAAAAAAAAAACAGCAAGAAATATTTTTATTTTTGTCTTCCATTTGAAGCTGCAATTAATTCAATTTATGCCAGGATAAATTTACATAAGATTTACTTTAATATTTTCTTCCAAGACTAGTGTTTTTGTTTGCCTTTTTACACTGTTTTGGATTGAGAAAAAAAAGGAAGAAATWAAGCAAAGAAAAACTAGAAGAGTAAACGAAGATTCATTACAGCAACAGAACCAACAGACATTCTTAAGGCATTGTATGAAAAGAGAGGAAAAAGTCCCCAGCAAGTACTCGGGCTGGGTGAGATTTCAGGCTGGAGAAAGAAGCAGAGGGGAACATTACCAAATTCTGCCAGGGCACCTAGGGAGGAGTCACCCCTGACCTGCTGGAGAGCAGCCCAGCAGAGAAGGACCTGGGAGTCCTGGTGGACAACACACTGACCACAGGCCAGCAATGTGCCCTGGTGGCCAACGTACCTGGGGAGCATTAGGCAGTGTTGCCACCASGGTGAGGGAGGGGATCCTGCCCCTCTACACAGCCCTGGGGAGGCCACATCTGGAGTGTGTGTCCAGTTCTGGGCTCCCCACTACAAGAGGGACATGAAGCTTCTAGAAAGGGTCCAGCGTAAAGCAAYGAAGATGATTAAGGGACAGGAGCACCTGTCTTATGAGTAAAGACTAAGTGAAGCTAGGCCTGTTTAGCCTGGAGAAGAGAAGACTGAGAGGGGATCTTATTGACATGTACCTGATGGGACATGTACCTGACATGACCTGATGGGAGGATTAAAGTGGATGGTGCCAAGCTCTTCTTGGTGGTGGCCTGCGATAGAACAAGTGGGAAAGCGGAAACACAGGAAGCTCCATTCGCATGTTAGGAAGAACTTCTTCACTGTGAGGGTGCCAGAGCCCTGGCACAGGCTGCCCAGGGAGGCTGTGGAGTCTCCTTCTCTGGAGATCTTCCAAACCCGCCTGGATGCCGMCCTGTGCCCTGTGCTCTGGGTGTCCCTGCTGGAGCAGGGGGTTGGACTAGATGGTCTCTAGGGGTACCTTCCAATCACTCTGTGATTCTGTGATTGCTGCCCCTGCAGAAATCTGTCCTCTCCAGGTAAGTTGTGTTGCAGCACCACAGGAAAGCCTCAATCCTTCCCTGTGCAGGAACAAAGGTTTTATCCGGGCAGTATTCTGTCACTTGGGGTGGCCTTGGCTATTTCTCTTACCTGCTCTTGTATAGCAACCCYACTATACTCAGTACTGATTTCCAACTGAAAAATAGGGAACTCTCAGTCAGCCCCCCAAACTGACACCTCAGCACACTTTCTTTTAGTTTCTGGGATACTACACAGCTTTTACGTTCAGCTGCCAAGAAAGCTAGGGATCCATAAACAATTTGAGTGGAGCTGTTCACTAGAAATGGACTTTAAATGAAAGAAATTTAAAAAAAAACAATAAAAAAGTGAAACTATATTACTTTCACATTACTGCATTATTCATCACATGCTTGATTTTTTTTGCATATTCAGTACTTGACACTTCACATTCTTATCAATGTGATGCATCTCAGTGATGTCTCATCACTTTAAAGGACCCAGCAGCCTTTTCACTACTGTACTACTACTAGTTARACCAAATATCCCTCTGAATTCAAATATGTAAACTTATATTTTTCAATTTTACAACTAATAGGAAAAAGAGAAGCTGCAAATATTTTATTTTTCAATATATTTTCAGAAACTGGAAGAAAAACAGAGATTTCCTGTTAAGCGTACACAGCACAGGAAACATGCTATCTATGTGATAAGGAAGTACCATATTTCGAGCAAATAGTCTCTTAGGAGAAGCAAGAGATAATGATGTTCATCTCTTTCTCATGTGTCCCATCCTGTGTTAACATCTCTGAAAAATCAGTATTATCAAGAAATATTCCTTTGTCCCTCAGGCATGCTATTTGCAAGATCCTGAATTCTGACAGGGAGAAGAGATGATTTACCAAGACGTAAAGTCCTATTCTTAATGAATGGTTAAAAAAAAAAATTAGAAATTGAAGTCTTATAAAACAGAGAATACAGAAGATTAGAATTTTATCTAAATCATCACATTTAATGCACTGAAATCACATCTGTAGTTGACTGTAGGGCAAGTGAACTTTCAATGCCTCAAAATGTTTTCATCTTCTTRAAATAAAATATTAAAAATCCATTTAAATATTTGGCATTTCTTGTTCAGGCCTGAAGCCACACATTTGAAGTATATGAACTAATATTATTGCATTAAAAAAAAAAAAACTGCTGGGAAATTAGGCAAGCTTTTGGAAAGACCTCTAGAAAATCCACACTTCTACAGAAACGCTTTTATCTAAGTACCAAGAGTCCAGCCTAGTGGCACAAATGGCACAGTTCCTGAATATAATTTTCAGATGAAATTTAAAGCCTGGGCAATAATCATCTGCAGTCAGCTTTGACCTCTGTATCCTGGCTAACTGCTAACTGGCATAGCCCATCYGCACTCTTCCAAAAATTCCTCAGAAGTTTCATCCAAATTCAATTTTCTTCACATTCTACACTGCAAATGCCCCTAGAGTCCTGCTGTGTACTCTTAAATAGCTGTTACATATTACGCCAGATGGGATGGCACTCCCATGATACAGCACATAATTTCTGTGCGTAGTTTATAAATGCCTCTGCCTCCTCTGGACTGGGGGCAGCTTTGTCAGTAGAAAAATATAAGCTAAGAGGGTGAAAAAAATATTCTAGTCACAAACATAATGAACTAGGGAAATTTCCACTCTCTGATCCTACGAATAGGCAAAACGTTCCCAACAGTTTGCAGCCACTTCTAAAACATGAGCCAGTTCTAAAAAGAGAGTGCATAGTTTAAAGACTGCAGCTATCAGCATAAGCTTTGTTAGTGCTGCCTTCAAATTACTCAGCATCAGCTGGAAATCTGACAGGAACGCCAGTAACACAAGCTATGCTATATATCCATATCATCTGAAAATGTTACACATCAAGACAGTCTCTGCACCAGAAGCATACAACACCATTCCACCTTCTCAAATACATTCTGTACGTAACTATTCCGCAGGCAAAAATACCACAGGAGAAAACTTCTGAATGTGACTTCCAGTGCCAGAAATGACAGAAAAAGCTGTATTGTTTATATATGAAAAGGAGAGATATTCTTCCGTTTAACACAAATTAATACAACTCAACAAAAAAGTATTTTAAATGAATAAATGCCTTACCTTGAGAAGTTGAGGAAATGAACATGTCTAGTGAATAAATAGGGCTGCTCAGCAGTGCTTATGTTTTTAATCAATTCCATCTAAAAAGAATTAACAAATCAAATTTTCYGTGTTATGTCAAGGAACATTTTGAGATAAATATAACTCTCAACAAATAATGATGTAATTTTCAAGCCCAGAATAACTCAGGAATTCCTCCTCCAATATCTCTCTCAAACTATGATGGTAACCTTAATCAAGATAGCACTGTTACTATTTCATGCCTACGCAAGAGAAGTTAAAATGCAACCACCATGATGCTCTCATACATGCTTACATTCTTCCAGAAGCTGGTATCTATTTAAAGAAGGGCTTAAACCAAATGAAAAATCTAAATTCCATCTAAATTTGCCTCTGAATTTTSTAAGTGGCAGCTACCACCTCCAGATGGTCTGGTCTCTGCTAAGCAGAACACCCAAATGTAAAATGTCTGAAACCTTACCAGAAACCTTACCAGAAAGTGGGAACAGAGTCAATAAACGTTTTCATGTAACAATAAAAATTCCTAACCTTACCAAAGCACTGTGTGGTTGTTTGCCTGCTCATATACAGAAAATATTCCTTTGACTATGACAGAAAATGAAAAGCATGACTCTAACTGCAGTTTTGGGAAGATGGGGCTAAGTTGTAGTTCAGGTGCATTCACAGCATTTTTTTTTAAACAAATTATTTTATTATTTGTCATGTAAACCAAATCCATMTACCAAAGACCACATTCCAAAGGTACGAATATGTATTTTGTGTAACCTCAGCTCACATTTTGTGCAACTCCAGCTTCACGAATATTCCATAGCATGTCAAGGAACTGAAAATCTAAAATGGAACCAAGTGCTAGAAAGTTGAACCATTCTTAACAGTTTTCCTTCCTTATTCTCCTCTCCTAAGATTTTTGTTTTCAGTAGCATCTGTTCTGTGCTCAAGTACTATGGACACTGAACACAAATGCAATTTCAGTATTGCAAACATTTACTGAATTTTATAGCCTGGGGAACAGGAAAATACTATAGGGGAAAACAAACAAACAAACAAAACCCACACAAACTGTCTAGCTTGGGGGGATGTTAATTTACAAAATATTAACCAGAATGTCATAGTGGACATAAGATAAAATAACCAGAAGCTTATTTTGTGGTCCACTCTCACGTGCTCAAGCTAAGCTGACTGATGTGCAATCAGTTATGGTGCTAAAAAGCCCTGAAGAGCTTTACAGAAAATGATACATACRAATACACAAACTACATTTAAGGGACATAAATCATTTTCTTTCTTATATTTCTTATTTCCTGGTTTTGATAGGCTGTATTTTGCCATGGTTTACTTTGTGTGTCACATTTCAGTGCTTACCAGTTTTCTTTTTTTCTTATTTTTCTTCCCCCGAGACACATATCCTATCTTCTTTCAGCCAGGACAAACCATGGCCATTTAACCTCCCGTCCGGAATGAAAAGGCACGCACACAAATGTTCTCTTTCCATCCCTCCTCTGCCCTCAGCTATTGTATACGCAGGCACATGTTACAAGCACTGAAGCAGAGACTTTCTCTGCCTGCTATGGACGGGCCTCTTTTTGCCAAACTAGCTCAAGTGTAACAAACTTTGGGCCTATTTCCCCAGGCTTCAAGCCCATGCAATGCTACAAACCCAAAGGAATAGAACAAAGGAGAAGGAAAGGAAGAGAATATGGAAAAAAAAAAAAAGAGAAAAAAGATGTTCAAGGAAAAAAAAGGGGGAGAAAAGTAAAGGCGCCCACCTAGCTTTAGTCTCTCATATCTAGACTCTGACTAAACCTCGATATAAACAAGTGTTACAAAGCTCCTATATGATAACAAAATGCTATCAGAAAGAAAGTCCTAAAAAATAAAGAACAAAACTTTAAAACAAGTGAAACAAAYCAGATGCCTCACTTTTGGATGTTTTTTGTTTTTTTTTTTCCATTGCATACATGTGGAGATGTAAAAAACAGTATGAACGTACAAAGTAGCCACAACTGAGGTTTAAAAACACAGGCAATTTTAAAATAATAATGACAAATGAATATATGTGTGTGTATGTGTGTGTGTACAAATATAAGTACAAAGTAATACAGAAACTGCCCTTTCCCCATGTCTTGAGCACCAACTTGCAAGCCCCAAGCTGACTYGTGTACAATTCCACATCCTTTCCCATGGTCAATGAGCTGACGTAGGTGCCAGGCTCGTGTGCATCTGTGTGCTGGAGCAGCAGAGGTGCTTCCAGATCAGAAGCGAAGTGAGTCTGCAGAGAGGCACAAAGACAGTCAGACAGCGTCTGGCTGCCTGCCTTTTTCTTTTCTTTTTTAAAAAGTTCTTGCTACCAAACTCAATCTCTTGAGCTATGCTAATAGCTTATTCCAAACCAGACAAAGAATTTTGTTTTGACTCAAGGTACCTTCATATTTAGACACTTACTGCTCAATTGGACTTGTAAGCAGATGTGGATAAAGTTGCACTGTGCATATGAACAAACAAGCAAAAAACATTCTTTCAAAAACCCTGCCAAAAGGGTAAGCAAGGCTCAACAGAAACAACACACAGATGTCAGAAGGGGAAAATAAATAACTGTAGTGGCTCACAGCCACATGTAAGTTGTGGCCAGATTTCCCATGGGGCTCTCTCTCCCTCTTCTAATCCCACTGTGCTGAACTGATTTCAACTTGCAGGCCAAATGTATTGCTCAAGGACACCAAGCAATCAGCCCGCCTTCTAAGATGGTACAAAAATAAATAAATAAATAGATCTTTCAACACAAAAAGGTTGGAGTGGAAGGGAAATACAGAGGAAGAGTGAGGAGAGGATGACAGCTGGGAAAAGAGCAGCAAGTAGATTTGGACAGAATGGGAGATGCAAGAGGAAGAGAGATATGTAAGTAATGATCAACTAAGAGACTTTTCCTAAAGTACCATTAGCTTGAAAAAGATGTGAGAAATCATAAGCAGAAGACAAACTACCAGGGCAAACACAGGCAGTGCAGAGATGGAGCAGAATGTTTTTGTATCTGGCAGGAGAGGCTGCAAGAACGGTTGAGGGACAACCAAGTGGAGCACGTGCCCACAAGGACGACGGCTCGTGAGGAGCCGTCCCTTCTTTCTCCGTGCTGCAAGAGCTCACTCGGGCTGTCTGGGTGAGACGGTGCTGAAAAGACAGCAATGTGCTTTGGAAACGAGCTGAGCTGAGCCAGACAGCTAAACGCTGCTCAGTGGGGCTGGAGGGCGAGGGCAGCACCAGGACACCAACTGCACGTGCTGGCATCACCTCAGGCTGGCCTGGCCCTGCCAGGGACCCCGCCCCACACGGGCTACGACAGGCGGGCAGAGAGCACAGTGACACAGTGACACTCTGCAGGGCTTGAAACTAAAGCAAGCGCTTGCAAAGACCTTCACGGCCTGATCAGCTCTGCTCAGAAGTATTTGCTGCCATAGCCATAAATACCTGTGCGTTAAACACTCATTAGGTGGCCAGAAAAAATGTGATTCTACAAAACCCACTGAAATAGCAAATAATTGCAAAGAACACAGACTTTCAGTCGAAATGCTCATTTGTTTCTTAGGAGAGTATCTTGTTGCCACTGCGATTCCTTGCCAAGGTTTTCTTTCCAAACTTTTCCATGAAGTTTCTTTTCTTCTCTGACTCTAAAGCAGACAGTTTAAACAAGATCCACAAGTAGAGACACYCCCTTAAAACAAAAGCTTGTTTTGAATCTTAAGGTCCAACGAAGCAAGAAAACCAGGACAGCCCAAGTGAAAAACTTTTCCTTAGACTGCTGCCCCATGCTACCGCTGCAGGGTCTCCAGTTGAAGCCATGCTGAAGAGACCAGGTCACAGGGGCTCAGCCTCGCCAGCCTACTGACCCGCTGCTGGTACTGCATTTTAAATAAGAAGCCGGCAGATGGCACAGTGAAACGACCCGCAGAAACTGGACGGGGGCCCTGCCGGCAAGGACAGAAACGTGGAGGATGGCACTGCTCCAGCCACGGCACCGCTCCAGCACACAAACTCAAGGCACATCCACGAGCGAGGACACCTTCTTTCCCTCTGCCCTGGCTCACCTGGCTGCGCTGGCCTGCTCGGAGCTGCTATGCTGTGTTCAGATGTGTAACAGGTCAATTCCATCGGGAACATAACGAAATATCAGATAATGATTGCCTATGGGTATTTTTTTTTAACTGCTATACTTCACTGCTATGGAATTTAAGAATACATAAAAAAAAAATGGTGAGGCAACTGCGATTTTTCAAGTGATGCCAGCTGTACTGCACTATAGTCTTTGCTAACACTAGAACAAATAAAAAGTTCGCTGCAACTGTCTCTCTTGCGAGTTGTTTACCTCTCCTCTTGATTTCATTCTCTGCTAAAGGCATGTAGCATCCAGGAGACACAAGTAACTGCAGGCACTTGGGATATCACTTTCATCTTGGCTGAACTTCCTTTCCACAGAAAATTCACAACTGTGTCATCATCATAGTAATGTGTTTGGCCCTCTACTTTCATCCCTTAAAAATTTGGAATTGCTTCAAAACTTTCTTAAGCTCCCCAAGCTGCTATGACTAATTTTCTGTCTTTATAAGTATTTAAGAAAAATTATCAACGGATCATTAGTGTGCTAAACTTGAATTATATATAAAGCTGGTTGGCTGGGCAAAAGGATGGGGGCAGAAGGAAATGATATAAGGATAAACTCTCTATTAGTCTTGTATGTACTCAGCTTTTGCATATTTTTAAGCATATTCATTCTTCCTTCTCTGAGTGCAAAGGAACTTGCTGGGAGGGAGAATTTGTTATGCAGCACCATGTGTGCCAATTTAAAGCTACGCTGATTCGCTTCGCTCTGTGTACAAGAATATTGCATTTAATTCAATTGAGAATATCTTTGCAAATGACAAGGCACAAATGAACCCATCACCTTCCCAAACCCACTTTCCCATGCCCACAAATGTTCAAAGGCTACACCTCTAGCTGCTGGCAAGCATACACAACTTGGGTAGGTGTCTTAGTAGGAAGGACACTAGAAAGAGCAATGAGAATACGGAATCCAGTTATGTGAAATCTGTAGTCATAAAGAACACCTAAGTGCTTAACTTTATTTAACAATAGCAGACTGCGTAAGCTAAATATTTACAGAAAGTCTTGGCTGGATCAGGGCTTTAACCAAACACAAGACAGACAAATGACAGAAGGATCAGAGTAGTAGCATCTTGAGCGAGCAGCCCATGCTCAGCTGGGAGCCTGCAAACCACTTTTTTTCTCATTCTAGTGCTTGGAGCCTGAGATCATCCATTCTCTTAATTTCCACTTGTGTATATCACGTTAAAGGTGAGAGAAATAATTGATTTCTCATATCCTCATTAAAAAAAAAAGACTCTCAGCCATAAGCATACCTTAGCCAACAGAACAGTTACTATCTCTGTGAATGTTTCTGGGTAAGCAAGGGCACTTTTCAGCAGGAGTACTCATTAAATTATGAACTTATTGTAGCTGTGTAAATAAGCCATAAATTAAAACAGAGTGACTTGAGTTATAATAGGGCAATCTGGAGAGTAAATCTTCAGCTCTGTAGCAATATGTTCACCACCATCTGTGCTCTATCACATTCGCTGTCTCATAACCTAATAGCTTCCGCATAGCAAAAAATACTGCAGACATTTTGCGTTCATCAGTGTATTTGTTGCAGCTAAAGTAAGTAAGTGCGGGCTACTCTTGGATTTTAATATCTTGACTGCAGTAMAGCATAGAAAACTGTTTACATGTGATTTTTTGCCACACTTGACAATGGGCACTGAGCTTTGCAATGAAGGAGGTGACGAGGGTGAAGATGGAGGTTACTATCATTTTAAAGATTTTTAGACCTTATGACACATCTCCCAGCCAATAAGCAATGAAATCTGATGACGAATTTCTTCATCAGAATAAGGGCCAACCAACCCAGAACACAAACCCAACTACACCAGGAGATACCTCCTATCCCACATCTGATAATTAAGCAGAAAAACTTAAAAGCAGTTGAGATAAGCAAGCACACTGCACAGCGCAGGTCACTTGATGCTGATGCAGTGGGACCATTTTCTCCYGGGGAAGTGTGGTGGTAGTGACAGCAGCTCGTCACTCACAGGGGCACTGCGAGAGCTGATGCTCAGGGCTCTGCCCCAACCCTCTGCTTGCTCAGCAGCAGTGGCCACAGCACAGGAAGCAAAAGGACACACTGGCACCTTCCCCCATAGCCTTTTCTTGGAAAGAAGTTTTCACTTGCAATGAACTGCCACATGTGAATGAACGGGGAAGCCCATGTTCATGAACAGGTTGCAAATAAGTAACACCTAACTACAGCACAGTGCCCCTGTTGGGCCCCAAGTCTGTGTTTTGATCATCACATCCTTTTGTGGCTTGTAGACTGCTAATCTTAGGAATGACATCAGGCCTTACGGCAGCATTTACCTGAATCAGCAGATCACAAGAACAGCTGTGGGCGAAGAACACACTTGTGTGTAAGGTGTATCACTAAATCTCTACAGTCTGAGGTTTCTGCATTATTTACATCCATGCCTCSTGATGTTAAGATATTATGTTATGATGTTAGTGATAGTTACGGTGGTTTATTTTATTACCCTAAATACAGTTAAATTTAAGTTAATAAACCTTTTGTGGACCTTATTTTTACAAAGTGGCAAAAATAGYGCTCTCTACCCTTTGAAGGAACATGAAAAGGGGTGTCTGGGGAAAAAGGGTTTGACTGGATGTTGCCTTGGAAAAGCATGCATCATGTGAAAAAGGCAGAAGAGGAAGACAGGATCAAGGAAGTGTGAGGYTACAGCAACAAAAGTTAGCTCTAGCAAAAACTTTTTGAAGCAAATAACAACTCAGAGCAAATGAAGAAAGTGAGTAAAGAAATCACTGGCTATTATTTAATTCCCGCTCTGCTTAAAGAATTCTAAGCCAGGCCTGAATAAACTGGCACACCTATATGATAAATGACCTGCCCTGCAGATATATTTAAACAGGTCTTAGAAGTTGCTGCAAACTCCACTCASAGTAACCTTCTTGCCTGTCTGTTGAAGTGACTAACACCAGACTGCTATGTTGACTGCATTCAAAAGCTGTCTCATTTGCAGTTAGTTTTTCTGGTCTCCACATCATGCTGGCTTGGGGCTCTAAGAGAAGAGAATTAGCAGAATTAACAGAAAATTTGTATCTCCTATTAATTGAACTTACTCAAAGGGGGAAGAATTCTGGATGACTCCTCAGGTGACAAAAGTAATACATACTCTTTCAATACAGTTTCTGCTAGCATGACAGCTACAAAACAAAACAAAACAGCCTCTAAGGTGAGCAGGAACAACTTACCTGTTCATTTTTGGTAAGTCTTGTTTTGTTATGAATGTCAGATGTAACGAGGTTGAATCCATGTTTCTCTGATAAAATTCTCAAAAGCAAAACCACAGTTCGACTCCCACACTTTCCAACTCTGTTGTAGACCACCTGGCTGGGGAATGGAAGAACCTAAATAAAAGGCAAAAAAAAAATGGGAGTCAGTATATGGTTATTTTTGTTTCTATGTACCTCAGGGCACAGAACACGTTGGCTACAAGCCAACAAACACATACAGGAGAATTTTCAGGACTCTGCCCAGGTCAGGAGCATTCAGTTCCACCTGCAAGTTATAAACTCTTCAGAATAAAGAGCTAACATGAGGCTCAGGAGGTAGCAAACAGAGATTTCTCCTCTCCATCACTCAGGTCAGTAGCAATTTCAGAAACATTAAACCACTGCTGATGGCTTCTGCTGGAGACAATTATAGGCTTAAGCTTGTTGCTTGTAATCTCATCATACACTGTCAGCTTTAGCTGACTGACTCCGTACAAAGAACAAAGAGCAGTAAAATCTCGCTACAGTTTGGCAATTGAAGTGATGTTGACATAATGCACGAGGAATGCCTGAGTTGCAAAACTTCATCTTAATAGGGAAAAAAAAAAAAAAAGGCAACAGACAATTGGGTAAAGCTAAAATGAATGGACCATTCATTCTATTGAGCATTTAAATTCGGTGATTGAATTTAAAACATAAATCTTAGGGACACATAGATCTTAAAGAGAGTTAAGACAGCAGACCACTGGCTACACATGTACTTGCAAATTAAGCAATGTCAAAGGCTCCTGGCTGGCCTTGAGGTCAACTGGCACAGTCTGATCCTTTCCATACTGCTAAAATCCATTAAACCTCAAAACAGAGCAACCACATCCAACCTGGCTACTGGTAACGACCCCTGGCCCGTGCTACCTCTTGAACCACGGTCTTCTCCCTGGCTTGGGRTATTGCTAGCTGATCTGGGCTAAAGTCATGACAAGGATTACTGGAATAATACAACAGACTGGGCAACTGAGTTCCTGGGCCTGACACTGTAGACCTAACTGTTGTTTACCAAACAGTGTCTCTGAAGCTGGAGGTTGGTTTCCTTCTCTGCCCCAAAACCAAAAGATAAAAAGTAGAGAAAAGTGAAACTGCTCTCAGTAATTTCTCAGATACAGTTTCCYACTATGTTTTGCAAACAGTAGATAGTGAAATTTATTACTATCTCTAAGGCAAAGACAGAAAGTCTGATGGGTATGTGTGTGGTTGTATTAGTATTTTTGCAAAGCACAACCATCAGAGATGATCAGAATGGTAAAGCAAGTTTGGCATTCCAGAAGGGATGAGCTTCAAAAATAAGGACAGCAATATCTCACTAAGGATGCTTTGTACACTAAACTAACAACAACAAATCAGCATTTTCTTAAACTAAACTAGAGTCGTATTACCAGATGTTCAACTCAGAGCAAACCCAGCAATAATAAAATCATCAGCATAGGAAGATAAGTTTGATCTGAACCCCAAATCCCATAGGGAAAGATAACAGCTCAGAATTTTCAGGGATGGAAGAAGACAACRGAGAGGTGAATTTGTCGTTATGGCTTGTGGGGACAAAGGGCAACAGTACAGGAAAATCAGGAAGGCTATCATTATCACAATTTAGGTGAGGAGGCCACCACACTCTGCACCTGAAGCAATGTGGAACCAAATTTCTAGATTATTAAATGTCTTGAGTTGGGAATCAAAGAGCTGCCTACAACAAACTGAGGCTTCCCTTTACAGTAGGGATATCTGGCTCTGCTGGGTGGAGAGAATTCTTCTCTATGTTGTTTCCTTTTGAGCAGGAATCGGGAAAAGGTCCATTGATTATTTCTCAAAATGAATATAGAAGAAATACTTCTCATTAGTTGCCAAGTTGAAAACTAAAATTCATAAAGTTCGTTTCCGTATGTTTGTACCAGCCATTTTCCCAATTTAGGACTCCATCATAAAACAATCACAGATTTATAGAGTCATGTTTGGGAAAGACCTTCAAGATCTCTGAGTCCAACCATAAACCCTTCAAATACTACACCAAGTAAACCATGTCCCTAAGTGCCTCATCTACAGCCAGGGAYGGCAGCTCCACCACTTCCCTGGGCAGTCTGTTCCRGCGCTTCACTCCTCTTCCCATGCAGAATTTTTTCCTAATATCCAACCTGAACCTCCCCTGGTGCAGCTTGAGGCCATTTTCTCTTGTTCTATCTCTAGTTATTCTGGAGAAGAGATCAACCCTCACCTCACTACAACCTCCTTTCAGGTAGCTGTAGATAGCGATAAGGTCTCCCCTGAGCCTCCTCTTCCCCAGACTAAATAATCCTGGCTCCCTCAGCCGCTACTTAGTGTCTGTGCTCCAGTTCCTTCACCAGCTTCATTGCCCTTCTTCGGACACACTCCAGCACCTCCATGTCCTTCTTGTAGCAAGGGGCCCAAAACTGAACTCAGTATTCAAAGTACGGCCCAAGATCCCTTCCCTGGTCCTGCTGGCTTCGCTGTTCCTGATACAAGTCAGGAGGCTGTTGGCCTTCTTGGCCACCTGGGCACACTGTTGGTTCATGTTCAGGCAGCTGTTGACCAACATTCCTAGATCTTCTGCCATCCAGCCACTCTGTCCTAGGCCTGCAGCGCTGCGTGGGGCTGTTATGACCCAAGTGCAGGACTCGGCACTCGGCCTTGTTGAACCTCACAGAGTTGGCCTCAGCCCATTGATCCAGCCTGTTCAGATTCCTCTGTAGAGCTTTCCTACCCTCAAGCAGATCTACTCTTCCTCCCAGCTCGGTGTTGTCTGAAAATCCGCTGACGACACTGTTCTGCAGTTAGCTTTGGATTGATATTATACATGACCTCTTAGAATTCAGAGCTTTTTCACCCGCATTCATTTTTGTTACTGGAGTCTTATCAATTGTTTGGAGCCAGTGATGTTAGCTCTGTGCCAGAGTGCAGCAGTGCCTCCTCTGTGCCATCCTCACTGCGCTCCCTTCCTTTTCACCCCAATCCCTTCTCTCCCTGACATACACCAAACAGAATTTGTACGGCAGAGAAACAAAGCTTGGCTTTCTAGGATGATCCAGAGAAACTAACCTTTGATTCATTCAGTAGTTTTGTTTTCTCTCAGTGACACTAAGAAAAGTTCAGTGCTTCTCATCCCTTATGTACTGTATGCTAATTTTAGCTATTCCATTAAAAGAAATTCCTCTTCTAGCTCCTAATTTCAGCTAGTTTGTACTGATAATGAAGGCAGCAGATCTATAAGCACTGACCTTTGGCTATACTTGTTTATTGTTTCTGTTCAGGGTCACAGTCCCTTAACTCCATGTCACCCTCACTTGAACKCAGATTATCAAAATGCAGGACAGCACAATTGATCATACCTGTTATCACCAAAATGCTACAATGACCTGATTTACTCAGTCTCCTTGGCTTAGGCTAATTACCAGAACAAAATGGTGAAGAAGATAGCATTATGTTTCAGACATCTGTTTTGCATAGCCATTCTTGAAAACTGGAAAAATAGAAAATGCAAGCAGCAATTCACAGCTCTAAAGTAGACTAAGTCTTATTTTGTTGCTGACTGATTGCCATGGGCCACACATTCAGGGAAAGGCATTCTGCAATCACAGGATTGCATTAGTCAAAGCCTTGGTATATGGTAGCATCATTTGATAACACAGACCAAGAGGTGTCTGTTACTCGGCTTTCATTGTCAGCAAGTTTCACCTCTATCAGGCAATAAACAGGTGTCTTCTAGTGAAGAAGCTTACTTGCAACACATATGCCATGACTCAACAGTGACTTCTGCTAAGAAGTTAAGAAAACAGTGATCTAAAATCACTTGCATGTCTTTATTTAGTTAACTATTAGAAATCAATGAATCAGGTCTGCGTACACCAGAAGCAGCACGTATAGCACTCACTTAGAAAAAGCTCGTTTTTCTGTGGTTGTTCATTTGGTTGTGCCAAATGTTGTGTTGTTCATTTGGTTTTCTGATACAGGATATGAATTGTAGTTCCAGGCAATATGTGTACACAAGGGTAATGTGCCAAAGTAATGGGRGTGTTTCAAGCAACAGTTACTTTTCCTCTGTGCAATTATTTTCTTCCACGATTGCTGTCAAGAGAGCAGCCAGAAGAGACATGCAGTCTTCTGACAGTACCTGAGCAGCTAATAGATCTTCATCAGGCCAGCAGAATGATTCCTCAAGCAATTCTTCAGCTTGCTTTCTAAGAGGATTGCAAATCACAATGAAAAATAAATGGAGAAATTTGGATACCCTAATATATTATGGGAATATGTTGAGTTATTTATGGTACTTGGTTACCACTTCATAAACCCTCAAAATATTAATGCTATTTCTGGTAACAATGTCTATGAAAATTTGATACTTGAATCCTTCACTGCTACCTGGATTCTTCAGTGCTGTGTATATATGAAAGCTGCCATTCTCCAAATTATTTAAGGAAGGGTATTTGGTGATGCCTGTCTTGGCTAAGCCTTCAGAATTCCAGGACATCACATCTGTTCATTCAGCAAGTGAACCTGGGTCTCCCAGGGCTCACATAAAATCCACATAACTCACACAACTTGTTTCTGAACTGAAAAATCCCAGCTTCAATGACTAGAGAGTCCCAAAGGTGATGGATGTAACATCTGCAGGTTATAGCTGCAGTTAACCTTTTCCAAAACGATGYTAATGACGTCTGAAAGGTTGACATTGAAAATTAGACATTTTCTAATTTTGAATACAACTTCAAGGGACATCACTATAAAAGATTTTATGTAAGGGTGCAAATGAGGGATATTCTATCTGCTTTTTGATTCCTTTCTTTGTATAGCAAAATTGGCAATATTTGCTTGCTGTGTACACCAATAGCATGTGAAAATAAACCTGTCTTGCTGCATTGTGCTCAAAGCCAATTCCCTCCTTCATGGCTACATAAAGCTACTTTGCAAGTTATTTCAGTAGTTTGACCACAGAGGTATCGCTGGATGGTCAACAACCATGAAGCTAAAAATCTACCAGAATACATCACATCACTCTGAAAATCAATCTCCAGAGTTTGTAGGGCTATGGAAATGTTAATTAATGCATCCTAATTATTAACTACTTTGATTTC